GGGAATTTTAGATGATCCCTGGTTGTCTCTGATTTTCAGCAGTTTAAGATTCCTGCCTTACAGCAAAGAACCAGGAAAGGTGCTTGGTGCATTTTTATTCAACTGGGTTGACCAAACCTATCTTCGTTTAATGATTTCTGACCTTTGGTTTAATTTACCAATGAACTACATTTGCTTCTCATTTGGGGGAAAAACTGCCTGTCGTAAACTCGTGGCAGGAACATCATTTCTCCTCATCTTCAAAGATGCTACTGGCAAGCTTAGTAACTGATTAGACAGGAAATACTGCACAGCCTTAGGCCTATTGCATAAGGACCAGTTCATTTATTAAAGAAAAGAAAACGTTGCTTATTTTTAGTATAAATCATTGCAGAATACCAAACCACTCCTTATAAATTTGAGAAGAGCAATCTTCCTGATTAGCTATTTCTTTCTTCTTTTCTAAGACCTTATATGAAATGATAAAGCACTCTTCAGCTTTCCTTAAGCCAGCTGATTGCACAAGTCAGACAACAGCCATGAGTGTGTTGAACGGTTGGATTTCTACTATTATAGGAATGAACACAGAACAAGTGTTACTTTAGACCTGAGTTTCCAAAGTACAATCCTAGCTTAAAAGGGAATTTTTAGAAAGAAAGAAAAGAAAACAGGAAACTGTATTGTATTGGGAAGAAGCCAGGGAGGAGATGAGAAAACAATTTGGATTTTGTGTGTAGGAGGTAGTGGGGGGTAGTTGTCTATAACTTTCATTAAGTGCTTTTCTTCTCTTTCTAAAGTAGACTGCAGGCTTTGGGTTGGAAAACCCCAGGTGGATGGGGGCCAGAAACCTGATGCTGCTACCTTTTTATCTGCCTTCACAGTACTGTCCTCTTCCCCCAGCTCCTCCCTGACCTCATGGACCAGGCCTCAGACCTTCCAGCTAACTGCCTCCTATGAGGCACTACTCTGATATCAGCCTATAACTGAGGGAGCTGGGGTCCAGGCTTGGTGACCAACCCTTCTCAGCCCACTCAATCCGGGTGTTTCCTACCTGAAGGCAGGAGGAGGCAATACCCTGTCTGCTACCATCAGCCCCTTCCAGAGCCCACCTGCCTGCCCTACCCTGCCTAGCTGGGCCCTGCCCAGTTCAGCCATATCCTGCCTTGTCCCATGCCAGCGCTGGCATGGCTGCACTCAGCTTCTCTGGTAAGCATAGACTCAAGAAACCTCTGGGGTCTTATTTTCTGGTCATGTGATCCCAGCGATGCACATGTTCCCCTTGGGTGTCTGAACAAAAGGGCATGGGAGGGCCACACCCCTGCAGTCTTGCTCTGCTGATGTAGTGGGCAGATGCCAACCCCCATGCCACCCTGTACTGTGGACTCTGAAATCAGCAGAGTAAGCATTTTATAAATTGTATTTTAGATACATGTTTTAAACGTGTGATTTTTTATAAAGGAACAAGCTTGACAAATGTTTTGAGAATTCATTATGCTTTATCGGCTTGAGGGGGAAGAATTGTTTTAAGCATCTGACTCAGACCACACGTAACTCAGATGTTTAAATAATCAACTCGCCCATTTTCATGTGGGTGGTTTAATCTCATGAAGAATAGAAGGTTACTATTATTGAAGACTTCCCCAACTTTTGGTTTCTCCCTTTGGAGTCAAACATATGAATCATTTTTTTCACCACTGATGATTAAAATTTGGTTTAGGAATTATTAAAACTAACTTGTGCCAAAACAAAAGTAGTGATTTCAAGTTCTTATAAAGAAAAATGTATCAATAGTCTTTAAAAATTATAGAGGCTTCAAAAAACCATCTTTTCATTCCATTAGACTTGTTATCAGTCTACAAGAAAGATGGCCACTCCTTTTTTAAACTCAATGAAGAACTCATTGGATTCAGTACCCTTTGAGTGCCACAAGGATCATGCTCTCTTTAGGAAGCAGAAACAAAACTATCGAGACTTGAAAAATATGTATCTTCTCTATGTTCTCTGAACATGGGAATGGCCTATTAACGTTTCCTATCCTTCACTCCCAGGCTGCAAATATATTTAACATTTTCCTTTCTTAATAGTACAAGGTAACATAATTATGTTCTAGAGTCCACCTCCTGGCATTCCTAAGCATTAGGAGGTTTATGCTTAGGAATCCCACATCATTCCCATTAGGGAGTGCCTCTCCCCATTAGAGTGAAGATAAGAAATAGTCTCTTCTTATTCACAATAGAGTTTTTCAGAGCTCTGATGATGGCTGAAGTCTTTGAAGTAGGTGTGCTTCATAAGCTGGAATCCATCTCTATTCTTCTCTGGCACCTATGGCATTGTCTTGAGGGCCACAAGGAGTGAGGTCAAATTTGCAGTTTAGCTGGAACTTTAAATGTTATAGAAAAATTCAATTATTCAACTTGTGCAAATGAATGGTTAAGACCAGGATTCATGCCTTGTATATTATGACCTTGTAGATTCATAGATCAGTAATGAATCTTAAAGTATCATAAAAGAGGACTGATTTAATTCCAAGTTTACATAACCCTGCTAGGACATACAGTGTTTAATACATGGATGCATACTTAAATTAAATGGTGAAAATGATATTTTCATGGAGTGCCTTAGAATGGAGAATTGGTTTTATTATTTTGGCCATATATATCATTGACTGAAAAACACACAAAATGTTTTACTCCTAAAGTATGGGAGCCTCGATGTTTAAAATGGAAGTTGCCTGGCACAGTAGCTCACATCTGTAATCCCAGCTACTCAAGAGGCTAAGGTGGGAGCATCACTTGAGCCCAAGAGTTTGAGACTAGCCTCAGTAACATAGCAAGACCCTGTCTCTAAAATAATTTTAAAAAGGAAGTTGACATAATCGCATGCTGATCCAATCCCCTCAAGTGACTCCACATAGAGCACGGGCATTGACCAGCAGCAATTGCTGCCAGGCAAACTTCTGCTACATTTCTGGCCTCCTGTACTTAACATTTGGTATCATAACACCAGTCTTTCCTACTAGGCACTCTCGGCTCCATGAAATGATAGCTTTTTAGGAATCTTCTATGAAAGTCCTTCACTCAGCTGCTTTGGTTGGTCGGTCGACCTTTCTTTTGGGTTAATGCAAAAGCCCCTATTTGCCACCCCAAATCCTATTTTCGGGGGCGCTCTGAGTAAGCTTTTCAAGATGAAATACAGCCAAACGATGTGAACTTTTATTTAAGTTTTCAGTGGCTTCTGTCTATCTACAGAATCAAGCCCAAACTCTGACCCTGAAAAATCACTCCTCTGTCTTATTCTAACCTTATCTGCTGTCACCACCTCCAACCTCTCCCAGCCATGCGTGTAGGTGCATGTGCTGTTCCTTACCTGGAATTGCCCCATCTGGCAAACTCCTATATAGCTCTCAAGAGTCACCTTCCACATCATTTTCTCAATTACGCTTTCCCTAAGTTGATTCCTGAGTAGTTAACTTTGTTCACGCCTTTGTTCATGATGACAACATTGTGTCAATGTCCAGCATCCTTCCACATTCCCTCCAGACTTAGCTTCTTATTTCTGTTGCCAGGCTGGAGTGCAGTGGCGCGATCTCCATTCACTGCAACCTCTGCCTCCTGGGTTCAGGCAATTCACCTACCTCAGCTTCTTTAGTAGCTGGGACTGCAGGTGCCCGCCACCATGCCCAGCTAATTTTTGTTATTTTTAGTAGAGATGGGGGGGGGTGGTTTCAACATGTTGGCCAGGATGATCTCGATCTCTTGACCTTGTGATCCGCCCACCTCAGCCTCCCAAAGTGCTGGGATTTACAGGCATGTGCCATCACACCCAGCCGCTGAGCTTCTTGAATGTGGGGCCCGTGGAAGGCCTCTTCATCTCTGTGGTCATCCCACATGGTGCAGGACTTGGTACATGGTGGCCACTTCAGCAAGATTTGAGAGATGAGTGAAAGCATGACCATATGAGTGCCTCTCCAAGTGTCTCATTTAATAATGGGGAGAACTTGACTCTCAGTAAAGCCAGGCTAGGACCTGTTCTTTCTTTCCAACTCCAAGAGATCTCGACTCAGTGCTTATAATTATGCCTTGCATCTCTCCCCTCCCCCCACTCCCATTCAAACCCAGTAAAATGTTATTACCTTTGTGTTGTTTTGTGCATACGTTGGTATGTGCTGGTTTGGCTCTCTGAGCTCACTAATCTAGTAGGAACATGCACATTCCAAAATTTTTCTCACTGGAGAACTTTATGATTTTTAATATTTACAGGAAGGTCAAAATAAAATATGTAGGTCACAAATATGTTTTCTTAAGGTTTTGAAGTTCATTTTGAAGTTTAGGGTATTTTTTTCTAACATCGATTGTTACTCTCCAAGAAAGGCTTATCTTATTGAATTGAATGGCATGGTTTGCAAATATCAGCTTTAAAGAAAAGCCACAATGTACGGAACTGCAGATTGTCTTAAAATCACTGTATTATGCACATTAAAACATGTAGCTTTTTTTTTCCAGGGTGATTGCTTTGTCTGGTTGAATTGAAAGTCAGGTTTTCTATTTTGGCATTGTGCCTTATTTCTCTAGACTAAATGAAATTGTTCCATTATAGCAAATAGAAGCTTGATAATGGTTTGATTCAAGTCTAATTGGAATGCTGTTCTCAGAATATTTCACCATTCCGATCTTATTCTCCGATATTGTATTTTCAAATAGAGACTATGAGCTAGAACTGGGTTAAAAGCCTTTAAGACTTGAGCAGCTGAAATCCCAGGAGAGTTTCAAACCAAGGCCCAGCCTGAAGCATAAAGGGTGCTGCTTTCCTGCTGTCAGCAGGCGAGAAAGATTTAGCTCATTGCAGGTCCCCACAGAAACAAACGCTGAGAGAAATGTCTCCCCTGGGGTTTGGCCTCAACTCCTTTTGAGATGAGCCTGTAGTTTGGAGATTGATAAGCAAATAACACTTAACATTGCTTCCTCCTTGTTTTTAAAGTGGATTGCAACAAGGCATCAACATCCCTTCTTTTTTTCTTTAAGGCTTCCTCACAGCGATGAGGCAAGAAGTGACCCGTGCCCACAAAGGCTGGGCACTGGACACTGTGACCATCCACAATGAAGTTCTGCGACAGACCAAGGAGGAGATCACGTCACCACCTGGGGTAGGCATTGCTGGAAAATATCAGGGACCGTTCTGGAGCCAGAGCTGAAGTTTCCAGTTCTGCTTAAACCTGAGCTATGAGTGCCTTGGTTAGGTCCATGTGCTTTGCAGCGAGGGTTCCCTCCATTATAAGCAGGGGATCTTGGTGCCAAAGCCTCCCCCATCTGCCGGAGTGGAGGATGAATGACAAGGTCTAACAAGCTCTTGGAACTACTCAAACCACATTTCCACAGCATTACAAGTTATACTTGTGTTTGCTAGAAAGGCTTTTTGACCAGGTGGTGGTGGCTCATGCCTATAATCCCAGCACCTTGGGAGGCTGAGGCAGGAGGATCACTTGAGCCCAGGAGTTCAAGATCAGCCTAGACAACACAGGGAGATCCTGTCTCTATCAAAAAAAAAAAAAAAAAATTAGCCAGTACTGGTGGCATGCATCTGTAGTCCCACCTACTTGGGAGACTGAGGTGGGACAATTGCTTGAGCCCAGGAGGTTGAGGCTGCAGTAAGTAATGATCACACCACCAGACTCCAGCCTGGGTGACAAAGTGAGATTCTGTCTCAATAAATGAATGAATGAATAAATGGGGCTTTTTCTACACATCTCCAGCTACTGCTGTGGGCTACTCACAGATTCTACTGTAGGCAGCAGAGCAGTGCTGAGGGCAGCAGAGACGAAGGGGACTAGCAGGCTGGAGCTGAGGGACAGTTCCAGGGGTGTCCCCTTCAAGCTTCGAGTGGAAAGGCACCTGGCTGGGGGAAGAGCCCCCACTGCCTGGACACTGATCTGCTCAATGAATGTGGGCAAATTCTGTGGCTTTTTTGAGCCCTAATGTCTTCATTTGCAAAATGAGCATAATAATTCAACTTTATTAAAGGTAATTGTGGCCAGGCATGGTGGCTCACACCTGTAATCCTAGCACTTTGGGGGGCTGAGGCTGAGTAATCACTTGAGGTCAGTAGTTCCAGACCAGCCTAGCCAACATGGTGAAAGCCTGTCTCTACTAAAAATACAAAAATGAGCCAGGTGTGGTGGTGCGTGACTATAATCCCAGCTACTCGGGATGCTGAGGGGAGAGGATTGCTTGAACTCAGGAGGCGGAGGTTACAGTGAACCGAGATCCTGCCACTGCATTCCAGCCTGGGTGACTGAGAGAGACTCTGCCTGAAATAAATAAATAGTTTAAAAAGGGAGTTGTGAGGATTTAAATCTGATCATTTACACGTGGTGCTGGACCCCACGTAGACTCTCAATAAATCAGTCTCTCTTTCCCTTTCTCTCATTTGTCAAGTAAGGGGGCTAGACCAGATGATTTCCAAGTTCTAGCCAAGTTCCCTACCACCTTATAATGAGGGCCACCTTTCCTTCAGTTTCCTGTATTGTCTTCCTCATTCCTGGTTGAGGCCTCACCTTAACCTCCAGATTCCTACCAACAATCTCTTCAAGGCAATTTCAGAATTCCTCCAGCCTCTCCCCGTTATGCAACACCAGAATCCCTTCCACATCTTTAGGCATTTGTGACCGCAGCATCCTGCTCCCTGGAATCAAAATCTGCGTTCTGTTCCAAAGGCTGTCATAAGAAAGTAGCATTACCCTGGGTGGCTAAAAACAACAGAGGTCTATTGTCTCACTGCTTAGGAGGCCAGAAGTCAAATCAGGGTAGGGATGGATTCTGCTAGAGGCCCCAAGACAGAATTTTGTTCTAAGCCTCTCTCTTGGCTGCTGGTGGTTACTGAGGATCTTTGGCTTTCCTTCATCATTCCAATCTCCACCTCCATTCTCACATTCGTCTCTATAGGTATATATATATCTGTGTCCCCTCTTCTTCTTATAAAGTTACCAGTCACATGGGATTTAGGACCTACCTTAATTCACTATGTCCTTACCTAAACAATGTGTGCAAAGTCCCTATTTCCAAATAATTACATTCCAAGGTTCCGGGTGGACATGAATTTTTGGGTGACACTATTCTATCTACCATACCTTCTCACTGACTTTTTAAGGTTCAGAGGCTGAACGCACCCTGGAGAGGGATGTAATTTACCATACGATGGCTTTTAAGTGGCTCCATTATTCATGTAGTTCATTGTCACCCACTGAGTTAATGGTGGTAACCGTATGTCCTGATTTTCTGAGACTGCCCATGGCTTTACTGTCAAACCATGTGCCTCAGTTTTGGGTTCCAAAAAAATACGGTCCTTACACTGTTAGCTCACACTGGGGGGGATTCCAAAAAACACTCTGCAGCGAATCACACTGTCTTTTATTCTAATGAACATTTACTTCCTCTGGTCCGAACCTCACCGGAAATGGAAACATAGTCACCATCTTCTATATTTAACTATTTGGTGAGCTGGCATGATTGTTGGAGCCTCCCCTGTGATTCTCTTTCAGCCTCTCTTTTTTTAGTGAATACATGTTCTGTGGCTACCCACTGCCTACAGGATCCAGTTTAAACTTTTCAGCTAGCACCCAGATCCTTCCACGGTCAAGCCCTACCTTATTCTACAACCATTGAGTCCTCTGATACAGGAGATGCTGGAGCTCTTCCAGCTGCCCTGCCTTTCTTTGTAGTGTTATTCCTGCTTGTGATGCCTACGCTCTCTCCTCTTTCCAAAGGCAGCCCCTGCTTCAAGGCCATCAAGCCCCATCTGCAAAATTAACATGATAATTCAACCTTATTAAAGGTAGTTGTGGCCAGGCACAGTGGCTGATGTCTGTAATCTCAGCGTTTTGGGAGGACTACTTGAGGTCAGGAGTTCGAAGCCAGCCTGGCCAACGTGGTGAAACTCATCTCTACTAAAAATGCAAAAATTAGCTGGATGTTGTGGCAGGCACCTGTAATCCAGGCTATTTGGGAGGCTGAGGTGGGAAGATTGGTTGAACTCGGGAGGAGGAGGCTGCAGTGAACCGAGATCCTGCCACTGCCCTCCAGCCTAGGTGACAGAGCGAGACTGCGTCTCAAATAAGGCCATCCCCTCTACAGAGGTCCCTAAGCACTCCAGCCACAGAGACCTTGCCTCAGAAGTCACTGCCCTCACCCTCAGAACAGTTCACCGGGCACTCCCAGTAACAAGAGTGTGCTGCTATTCAATTCATAACTTTACAAATTTTTCTGCACCTTTGCATTTTATGTTCCCGATTTAATGGTGAGGACTCCCAGGGCAGGGCCTATTGCATGAGAGAGACACTGGGGAGGGTGGCCAGATGCGGGCTGCTAAGCAGCCCTCCCCACCCATGCCCCTGCCATGCTTACCCTGGCTCTACCATGCCTGGCCTCTGGGGGCGCTCTGACTCTCCCATTAGCTGGGCCTGGCTGTGAAAACCTCACTTCATCCGTGACTGAGATGAAGTAGAGACACAGGTTGGCTTGACCAGTGGCAGGCTGAGATCCCACATGACACCAGCTCCAGATCCTCTTCCATGCTCCCACCTTCCACCAACTCAATCCAGACCTCTCAGAGACTTTCACCTTCCTGTAGAGGTGATGTGGTGCTGCTGGCTAAGTCTGATGCTTAAGCACGCCACCCTCACACTTAAATACTAATAACACACAGGAACATTTCTACAGTGCTCATAGCCTCAACACAGGCTGCAGGAGAAAACTGGGCTCAGTATTTTACTAATGCAATGCGCCTGGTGGTGCTTTCTCCCTCTGGTAGTGTTTTAAGACTGGTGTGTGTTTTATTTCCAAACTGACAGCCTTTATTACACTCATACCCATTTTGTAGCACCTAGTTTGAAAAATAAATCCTCTTACCTTATGCTTGACCCTTCCAGGAAGGCGTGTATATTTATGGGCTATACATGGATGGAGCAGCCTGGGACAGACGGAATGGAAAGCTCACGGAATCCACCCCCAAGGTGCTCTTCACACTGTTACCTGTGTTGCACATCTTTGCCATTAACTCCACGGCACCCAAGGACCCCAAGCTGTATGTATGTCCTGTTTACAAGAAACCCAGGCGAACTGACTTGACCTTCATCACTGTGGTGTATTTGCGAACAGTGTTGTCCCCGGATCACTGGATCCTGAGAGGAGTGGCCCTTTTGTGTGACATCAAGTAAGTTCAGTTCCATCTGCTGACGGCACCAGAAGCCACACGGACAGCCTGTGCTATTGAGGGACTCGGTGATGTGTGTGTCTTTTCTCCCCAATAATTGCTTAATTACTCCTTCTAAATTAAAAAGTTGATGTTCTAAAATTGCTAGTGTGTGTGTTTTCCTCACATACCAATATTCAAAAAGATGACTCTAAATGAATGCTTTTTGTTCCAGGAAACCGTATTTCATTATAATTACTTTTTAAAGATAAAACCCTGTCTGGATGTTACAACACTTTGGAAGCTTTGAATTTTAAAAATCTGAAAGTGTTGATATGTTTCATCCTAAAAAAAGTCTAGCAGTTGACAACTTTTCCCTCAAGTAGGTACCAATTTCCCTTGAATAAAATCTAGCCATGTCTATGTTTGTGCTAATGTGTTATCTTTTGTTCTTTTGAGTTTGGTATTCTCTCTGTGCTTCTGAAGTGGAAACGGAAGAGATCCAGCCAGTATTCCTCAGTAGTACAGCTGTTGAGTATGACATGCTTACGACAGCAAATCACTGGGATGGCTTTTCTTGTGATTTATTTTAATTTTATTTTATCTTGTTTTATTTTAATTTTTACTGCTTTTGAGGCCCAGAGAACAAACTCTCCTGCGCTCCCTCCCAACTCCAATTCTGCAGGGGATAATGAAACACATTTCTAGGCAGCAAATGGAGAAGGGAAAAACAAACCCTATCAAATGAAATTAGGTTACATGCTGAATGTCTTAAAAAGCAAAGTCTTTAAAAAGTGAAGCTATTTCTTACTCTGTAGCTAGTCTGAAACTCAGTTTGAACCTTGATTTCCTGCTAAAGGAAATTGTCAATTTAACAAAACAGATGGGGTCCTATATTGAATGCTCACGCAGCTTCAGGACAGTGAAGAAGTGTCTCTACCAGTCTTCTCATCTAGAATCCTCGTGCCTGCCCGCAGCTAAATGCATGAGCCTCATTCCTTCTGACTATTCTGAAGGAGGGAACGTTTCAAGTTGCCTTGTTTCCCTCTCATCCTGCTGCCACCTTGATCAGGAATGCTGATGACAGACAAAACCAGGCAGCCAAGCAATAGCCCAGGTAAGGTTTACAGAAAAGACCCCAGAGAAAACTCTGCCACAGTCTAGTGTATTTTCAAAGAGTAGAAAACACATTATGAAATGCAAATTGTAGCAGTGGCCTCTGGTATTTTCCTGATATTGATTCAATGTCAAAACCATAGAACTTTAAAAAAATAAAGGCAGTTTGAAAAATAAAGTAGCCAAGCTCCTGACCCAAGTGTTTTAGCACTTTCCCTGGCCAACACATACACTAAAGTAAGGATGGCATTCTCGAGAAAGAATGTCCTCCTGAACTGAGACTAGAATTTAGAAGCACCTGCCAGTCTGGGTAGGCACAGAGAAATTTAAGCACCTTGACATCATAGCAAACCAAACTGCATGTTCCAAAATAAAACACACACGTCTTATTGATAGCCCTGTCCAGCTGCTAAAACAATTGAAGAGGCCTGGCGCGGTGGCTCAAGCCTGCAATCCCAGCACTGTGGGAGGCCAAGGTGGGCGGATCACGAGGTCAAGAGATCGAGACCATCTTGGCCAACATGGTGAAACCCCATCTCTACTAAAAATACAAAAATTAGCTGGGCATGGTGGCGCGCACCTGTAGTCCCAAGTACTCAGGAAGCTGAAGCAGGAGAATTGCTTGAACCCGGGAGGCTGAGGTTGCAGTGAGCCGAGATTGCGCCACTGCACTCCAGCCTGGCGCCTGGCGACAGAGTGAAACTCTGTCTCAAAAAATAAAAAAACAATTGAAGGCAAAGGCATAGTTGAGACCCCTGGATATCCTGACAGATTTTCCAAGAATAACAATTACGTTCCGTGTTCTCTAATGACTTGAATGTCTTGTGGAAAACTGGGAAAAGAGGTGAAGAGGATGTAAATCTGGCAAAGATCATTGATCAGGCCAGTTAAAGTCACACATGTGCCATTTCCTGGGAACTCTCTGCTGTTGCTGGTTACTTTGCACTACATCAACACAGAAGAGAGAGAGATGGGCTTTAAGGCCCAGCAAGGATGGGCACCAGGCACTGGGGCAGTTCCTCAGAATGGTCTTCTTTCTGGTGAGTACTTCCCAGCTATCCCTAATTCTGCCAGGGTCCAGTTCTGCTTTCTTTCTCTAGGCCCAGTAAATGGTTTCCTTGGATGTTTTAAGCTATTGAGCTTTCATAAGCACATAACCATTTTCTCTGCAAAATTGTTGCTCTTTCGCTAATTACATAATTTGCCCCACTTGAGTGAGGGAGACCTGGTGCGCATAAAAGAGCAAAGGATAGAGCATGAAATGGTTAAGCCAATGAAGCTGGGAGAGAGGCAAGGTAATTGTTCTTGTTCCTTGGAATCAGTCCACATCTTCTCATTTTGGTCTTGGCAAAATGAACAATGAGATTTATACCTTCCTTGATTCAAAATGTTCCTTTAGTTAGGACTTTGCATAAAAATAAGACCAAAAGAAACTTGTATAGAGATACATCTTCTTAAAGGGATTGGTCTTGCGGGTGATGTTGCATGAACGAGCCACCATCTCTGCCACCAGAGACCTCAGATGAATAGGGCACTCCCCTGTGATTGGAGGCAAAAGTGACTCAGGGCCATGGGTGAAGTTCAAAGGAATGGTGAAGGAAACTCACAGTTGAGGATGAACTGGAAGACAAAGTAGCATTTCAGTTGGGTCTTGAACTTTTTGTAGATATTACCAACACGATAGATGGATATGTTCAAAGGAAGGGAGCAGCATGAGGAAGAGAACAGCCTAAAGGTGGGAAACCTCATGGAATGTCCAGAGACAGAAGATGTAGCCTTCAATGAGTTTCCATCGCCTGGAATGCACTCTCCAAATACCAAAGCCCTCTAGAAGCTGGCCTAGAACAAAATTTCTCCTTTATCACCCATCCCATCTCTCAACTTGCTCAATTGCTTCTGCCACTCTGACTGATGTTCTGGATGTTCGCTGAAAAATCACACATACTTTTACCATCCTGCAATTACCTTATCAAAGAAAACCCTCTTGTGTGGAACAACTGGGAGTTTCATGCATGACTGTGGAGGCACTGTCAAATGATACAACCATTTTGGAAAATGGGCAGTTCCTTAAGAGTAAAACATATAGTTACTATGTGACCCAGACGTTTTGTTCTTAGGTATTACCCCTAGAGAAATGAAAGTGTATGTCCACACAAAGACATACATTCCTGTGCTCATAGAAACTTTACTGGAATAGCCAACAATTGGAAACAATCCAAATGCCCATCAACAGGTAAATGAATGGAAAAAAAAATGGTATATACCTGCAATTGAATACTTCGCTGCAAGAAAACGGAACAAACTGTTAATACATACTAAAACTGGATGAATCTCATTACGCTGAGTGAAAGAAGTCAGATGAAAAAAAGAGCGCACAATGTGTAATTTGTTTATATAAAACTCTAGAAAATGCAAATTAACCATCAGTGACAGAAAGCAGATGAGAAATTGCCTGGGAAGGGAGGGAGCAGGGGCAGGAGAAAATGTTGGAAGGTGATAGATGTGTTCATTCTCTTGACAGTGGTCATAGTTTCATGGGTGTCAAAACTTATCAACTTGCACACTTTAAACGTGTGCAGTTTATTATACTTCAATTATACATCAATAAACCTGTAAAGAAAAGCTCTTCCCATAGCACCTGATCCTTTCTTCACCCTTCTTGATTTCCACGACCCCTCACTCCTCTTCCAGGCAAGGTTCATTGCACTTTCTGCACTGTGTTTAGTAATCTGGGTTGCAATCCGAGAATTTTAATGCACGGATTTAATGGCATGCGTCTATTTCTCCACTCTATAGCAAACTTTTGGAAAGTACTTTAGGAAGTGTTGACTGAATGAAAGAATAAATGGACAGCAAGTAACCCAATTTGACTGGTGAATGTAGGGAAATGATGGGGAAGGAGGCAACACAGGTGTGAGCCATGTTGGGAGGGTCTAGAGTGCCACGAAGGACAGTAGGGAGTCATTGGTGGTTCTGGACTGCTAAAGGAATGGAAATGAGTAGCTCAGCTAGAAGGCTTCTAGGCCAAAATTGAGAAAATGAGTGTTGGAACTACAGAGATGCCAATTAGAATAGAAGCAAAGCAAGTCATTTAAAAGACAGTGTGAAAGGAAAATCTGGGGACTCAGAAACTGAGCTGAGATGAAGAACAGTCAGAAAGAGCCTAAAGATAAAAAAGTTTATAGACTGGGGAGTCCAGCTGGATGTTTCCTATATCATTAACATTTGGGGAAGGAGCTATTTTGCTAGCCCCGTGCTTATAAACAGCCACCAGGGTCTCTGTGAAGAGAGACTTAAAGATCTATGTGCTCACCATTGCTCCCAGCAAGCTCCATGGCTTAATGATAATGTGGTGTACCTGTATGCCAGGCATTGGTCTAAGCACTTGATGGGAATTAATTTATGTAATTCTTGCACCAACTCATGAAATTAGTACTGATATTATCTCCATTTCAGATTAGGAAACTGAGGCACAGAGAAACTACACAACTTGCCCAAGTTCTTACAGCTAGTGAGTGACAGGGCTGAGATGAACACAGGCTTAGGGCTTCCATCTGTGCTCTGATGTAAGACAATACTGGGTTTTTTAAAAGCCACAGTCTACAGGCATGAACCAGTAAAATTCATAATTGTATATAGAAAATAGTACATCTATGTTTCTCTGACTTCTTAATTTGAACAGCTTTCATTATCTGAATGGAAAGAAAAATGTACATATAAGAGAGGGTATAAGGCAAACATCAGCATTCATGTGATGTGCAAATAAATGTATATTTAAAATTCATGGATTTTGAAAAGAATTAGTTGATTCATTTTAACGTGCTTTTTCTGGCCTTTCTTGAACATTCTATACCAGCAGGTGCATTGCAAGGTAACCAGAAGGAGCATGGCTGGAGAATTTTGCCCTAAACTCCAAGTGAGAAGCTGTGGGGTTTAGTCCTGAGACACAAGGCTCACAGAGGCTGCTACCTTGTCCACATGAAAAAGAGAAAACATAATTAAAATGTTATTTTCAAGAACACAATTCAGCAAGGGATAAAAGGGAG